AGCCACCACCACCCCCCGACCCTCCCTGAATACTAATTGTCATCTCTTTTTGCATTTGACTGATGACTGGTCCTCTGAAAAGACGCAAAAAAGGGAGTTACTCAGTCAGCTCTGAGGATAATGACACACTTTGCGACTGTCAAGTGTAACATAATGTCCTCGACGGGGAGCGTCACTCTGAGTTGATAGACCAATAAAAAAAACACTTTACATATAACGCCCTGGGTTTTCCTGACAGACTTTTTTGGATGGTCAGTCAGGGTGATGCTTCCAGAAACTCTCTGCTCTGTCTGTGGAGCGCCGTCCTTCATTAGGAGGACCGCGGGTGAAAAAGATCCAGGTCCGAGGCACGACCTGTGGTCAATACTCTCATCTACAGTGCAAAGGTCAGGTGAATTAACACTGTTCTACTGGAGGAACCCTAATGAAACACCACGGTTCCACCGCAGGTGTCGGAGTGTGAAAGGAAGTGGTGACAGCTGTGATTGGTTGACAGTGTTTGGGGGAAAATCATTGTCCTCCTCATAATGCCACCTCCATTTACTCTTGATTAACAAGGGATCCAATACAATGGTCGCTTGTCTGCCTGCGTTCGCTCAATGATACGTCTGTGCATCAAGTTGCTGTCAACTGGTGGTGCCATGATGTGGGAGGGAGCGAGGGAGGGAGGAAAAGGGAGAGAGAAGAAAGGGGGAGGAGAAAAGAGGGATGGAGGGAGAGGAGAGGGAGGAAGGAAAAGAGAGCCTGCAAATGGCAGCTTCTGTGACACCACAGGAGGGAGGGAGCAAGAAATAGACAGAGAGAAAGTTGATAAAGAGACACAGAAAGAGAGCTAGAGAGAGAGAGAGAGAGAGTGAGAGAGAGCTAGAGAGAGAACAGCAGTTCAACTAGATCACATTGCAACAGATTCATACAGACTGCTGGTCAGTGAGTAAGTGGAAAAGGGAATACTGTGCTGTTTTTCCAGAGGGACATGAGAAGACTTGGCAGATGTCATGTTGGAACAGATGAGGATGACACGAGGAGCTGCTGAAGATTTAGTCCTAAAAGATGGAAATACAAAAACCTGACTTTTCCTGGGGACACTTCTCATTAGACACAGCACACCTGTTTAACAGAGCCAGCACTGAGTGAGCAGCAGCAGCAGCAGCAGCAGCAGCAGCAGCTTGGCCCGGGGGTCGTTCTGCTTCAGCCTTGTTGCCCGGTCACATATGAAAGGATGAAGAGTGTAAAGCGGGGTCTGTGTCTTCCTCTGAATATGGTGGAGTGGTTTCCTCCTGTGTTAGAGTAATGCACAGAGGAAGAGGAGGACGAAGCAGCTGCAGGGACAGATGCTAAGTATGCCTTAGACTTAGTTCATGAGGGGACACCGGGAGTGAAGAGACAACCCTCAACTTCTTCCTTCCACGTCCACGTGAAGCGCAAGGAAGTGAAAATTCAGGTGAGAAAGGGACAAAAAAAATGTTTACCTGTAAACTGTAGTGATGTCGTCACAGAGTATTGACTCTCTTTTGTTGTGACTTATAGGCACAGTATTATGAGTGGTTATGATTAATAATTTGGGTGAAGAGAACAGTAAGTGTTGATCACTGCTTTTGTACCGGACCAATAATAAGGCCTGTGGGTTCCACACCGTGATCCTGACTATTTTGCTTAAGAAAAACCCATGAATTCAATATTTATCCATATATAATTCCCTATAAATCACTGTGACATAGATGGTTCAATGATGATAATATTGTCAGTTGATGATTTTGGACAATATTTTTTACTTGGATTTAAAAAATAACGTTTCAGTTTATTAATTTATTTACAAAATGTGACTAATGGGATTTATCCATTGTCTTTTTTATAATAATATCTGTCCTTATTTATTTATCTATGGCTTAACAATTTTATAAACACGATTTGATGGATAATAACACTGGAGGAGGGTCATCAGCAGGGGTTAATGGATGAAGCGCTGCTGACGGTTGTGCAGACATTATTGTGTCCATAAAAGAGGCTAATGTGAGAGGATAAAGGAGACAGGACAGGTAATATGCAGCTTTGTCTGCAGATCAAAGACCCTTCTTCTGCTCCTTATTTGAACTCAGTTCCATTTGAGACACAAATCTTTATTGACTAATTTGGAACAGTAGTAGGACGGGGGCAGCCAACATAAAGAGCTTGCTGTGCAGCAGTGTACCATGCAACATGACAAAGTGTCCTGCATATGATGATGAGGATGATGATGAGAATGTCTTTGTTATTGTAAAATACAAGAATTGAACCAGATGTATAGCTACAGGTGCAGCAGGAAAGGAAAGACATCTGTTCTGAAGAGCTAACTCTCAGCACAGAGAAGAAAGTCCAAGTCACAACAACAGGAAATAGTGAAAGAAAACATGTTAATGTGACATGCTGCTACCATGAAAGTCACCCTTCATGGTAAGTGGTGTTGCTTTCTATAGGAAAATACCTGTAGGTCACTTGAGATGAGATGAGTTCCGCATGGTGAGCTATAGGAAAATACAATGACACCTGAGCCCTCGACTCTTCCCTCACAATGGCCTTGGGAGGGGGCCCAGTATGGCAGAGGTGGCTCAGGTTCCCACAAGCTTGTCTTGAGACGAAGCACCCTCCACCACTCCGCCTTATTGTTCCTCTAAAACCCCACTATTATCGTGAACATCCAATTATTTGGTCTCTTCGTCCTAATCAACCGCATCATCCCAACCCTGCGGCTGCACCGCTCAGTTCTCCGAGAGGACACACTACAGTCTAGGTCACAAAAGGTTATGGGAGGGAGGGGTGAGGAGGAGGGGTGGGTTGCATAAAGCAGTGAAACGACCATCAGTCCACTGTCTCAGAGCAAGAAAACAAATCTAAGACGCAGGGCTGTAATATGCTTTTACCACCTCTGGAAACAGGGAATAAAACTTGACAACCTCAACACATTTGAACTCATTCTTCGACAGACATTTCTGAAAATGTATTTTTAGACAAAAATGCTCCGAATTTGAGAGTTTGTCTGTGAGCAGCACAAATCACAGAGTATCTAGTCGTTGAACTGTCCAGGACTGTGGTTTCTGGTGTGAAGCTGCTGCTGGTGTTAGAAAAGACTGTATATAAGAAATGGACAAAGTGGTTTGTAGCAACATCTTCATGTGATCTGGACACAGACCAACTGTTGATGTTATCAAACTCCTGGAGTATTTATTATTGTTAACAGAATGGAGGGAAGCTCAGATTTACAGCTGCTCATCTGTCTCTGCCACTGTCGATCTCTATTCTGCAGGTAAACGACGCTGACAAATCCAAGCCGGGGACAGAGATTAATCTTTAAGCACTCGAGTGTCGACTCAGAGCTGACACGCTCAGCCTGTCGGAGTGAGAATCAGATTTGAAAAGATTCTTTTCTGATGTAACTCTAAGAGACATATCTAATGACCGTGAGGGTTTTTACTTTCATTGTGCCAATTCATCTGACACCTGCCACTGCATAACTACAGTTTGACGTGGAGATCCTGAGCCTTGGCGAGCTGCTCAGGTGTAGAGTGGAGGTGAAATTCAGGATAGGATTCATCCCATTTATGCTGAGTACCACAGTCTAGACGCTGCACTGTGTAGAACAAAACCAAATGATCGGTGTAAATCAAGTGTCAAAAGGATTAAAGAGTATGTTTCATTATTACATTTAAACAAATTGAAGTTTCTAAAAATACAGTAATTTTTCTGTGCGACTGTAAATTTAGCAGGAACAGCTGAGCTCTTCTGGGAGTTAGAGTCATTCTGTCAAAGGCAAAGAGAACATTTGAAAGTAGATAAAAAAAAATAGAACATAACATGTGTCTATGTTGTGGTTTTTCAGATACAAAGAGGTGTTTGTCACCTAAGGGACAAATCTAATCTTACGCAGGAGGTAATCTGACTGGTAGATATTCAACCTGAAATAGTGTACGTGATGATGGAATCAGAGTGAGTGTGTGGCAGACAAAAGGGCATCGGTGACTCGGAGGAAACACATGTGACCTGTCAAGTCAGACACAGACACGTCAAAAGATAAGTGATAAAAGCTGTCAGCGCCCAGAGGGGCTTCGGACAGGCCCTTACCCTTAGGTTACACGTCAAGTGCAAAAGCCAAGTTACCTGCTGCCTCATCAGGTCCAACAGCTGAACTGTGTTTGCTGTAGGCTAATTTAACTGGCCATGTCAAAGGCCATAACACAAGAGAGAAGTCTATCCTACTTACTGCATGTAGTGTACCATGAGAGGGCGCTTTAGATTTACCACATTGTCACATTATGATTTATAATACTACAAAAAATGTACAGAATTGGGCCAAATGGTGCATCTATAAATGCATGTGTAAGCAATAAGGGGCAGAGAGAAGTTTACTTTCATTACACACACACACACACACACATATACATTGCGTACTATCTTTGTGTGCCTCCAAAAAGCCTGAGTGTGACACACATGTCAGTCTTTTTCACTCTCTCAGACGTCTATCTGGGTACAGCCAGTGACTTTCACTTTAATTATAGTATTTATTACACAATAATTACCATCTGCTGGCTGACGACCTGATCAGTCTTCACTCCAGACTTTCTTTGTAATGCAAAAAAGAAAAGCAGCAAAGGGAGAGCCATGTGTCACCCAGGACAGCTGTCTGTTCTCCAGCTGACATCAAACGACCCGAGGACCCTTCAGTGTAGACCCTCTACATAAAGGATTTTCAATTCGCTCCCTATTAGAACAGAGACAACTGCTGATTCAAGTTTATCACCAATATGATTCTAGTGCTGGTGGAAACCAAGATTTGTAAACAACTTTGACGACATGCGTGAATGTATCGGCACTGCTTAAAAAAAATCTTTTTTTTCCCACTTCATCTAAAAAAATAGAAAAGAAAACAAGAAGGCCACTGTGCACTAAAAAACACAGTCTTTGTGCAAAATTCTTTATGTGTCCCGGTGTATTTTCTGTACTTCCAACATTGTAGAACACAAGCTGAGCTGTACAGATCAGCACTCGTTGCTAAGAATATCCAACAAAAACAACAAATCTGCAGTAATTCCAAGCTGACAGCTGCAATCCTTACAACCAGTGGATATTTACACAGACAGTCAGAACTGAAAGACAAAAGGCCGGTTGGAGTTTTTCAGGAGTCTGTTCAGATTTGCATGGTTAGGTCTTTGGTTATTGTTTATCCCTGATGCGACACAGAAAGTTGCTCACTTTGTTTTCTTCTCCTGTCACACTTTAGAGAGACCAAAAAACCACGGACTCCCACTCGGCTCTCTGTCTATGACTCACTACCATGACGCTCAGCCAGTGATCGAGTTCTGAAGGCCACAGTCACACATCGGGACTCGAGGCCTTGTCCTTCTGCTCCACTCTGCTGCTGGAGGCTCTTCCCGGAGCATGAGTGTGGGAGGAATCAACCGCTACAGCATTGTGTCGTCTGAAGAAGAGGGCCTCCGCCTCACTACCATGCATGGCATGAACGGCTTTGGCAATGGCAAGATCCACACACGCCGCAAGTGCCGCAACCGCTTTGTCAAGAAGAACGGCCAGTGTAATGTGCAGTTCACCAACATGGACGAGAAGTCACAGCGTTACATGGCTGACATCTTTACTACATGTGTCGACATTCGTTGGCGATGGATGCTGGTAGTCTTCACCCTGGTGTTCGTCGTCTCCTGGCTGGTCTTCGGGTTGGCCTTCTGGGTCATCGCTTTGTTGCACGGTGATCTTGATAATCCAGCGGGAGATGACAACTTCACTCCATGTGTTCTACAAGTCAACGGATTCGTGGCTGCTTTTCTGTTCTCCATTGAAACACAGTCGACCATAGGCTACGGTTACCGCTGTGTGACGGAGGAGTGCCCGGTGGCCGTGTTTATGGTGGTCTTCCAGTCCATAGTGGGCTGCATCATTGACTGCTTTATGATTGGCGCCATCATGGCCAAAATGGCGAGGCCCAAGAAGCGGGCGCAAACGCTGTTGTTCAGCCACAATGCTGTCATTGCCATGAGGGACAGGAAGCTGTGTCTCATGTGGAGGGTAGGCAACCTTCGCCGGAGCCACATAGTGGAGGCCCACGTCAGAGCGCAGCTCATCAAACCTCGGATAACAGACGAAGGGGAATATATCCCCTTAGACCAAATAGACATTAATGTGGGCTTTGACAAAGGTTTGGACAGGATTTTCCTGGTTTCACCCATCACCATTCTCCATGAGATAGATGAGGAGAGTCCACTTTTTGGGATCAGCAACCAGGACTTGGACACAGCAGACTTTGAGATTGTTGTCATCTTGGAGGGTATGGTCGAAGCAACTGCCATGACCACTCAGGCGCGCAGCTCCTACCTGGCCTCTGAGATCCTTTGGGGTCACAGGTTTGAGCCGGTCTTGTTTGAGGAGAAAAACATTTACAAGGTGGATTATTCTCACTTTCACAAAACATACGAGGTGCCGTCCACCCCGCGCTGCAGTGCCAAGGACATGGTGGAGAACAAGTTCCTAGTCCCCAGCTCCAACACCTTCTGCTACGAAAATGAGCTGGCCTTCCTCAACCGGGACGAAGAGGAGGAGGATGTGGGCGGTGGAAGCAGAGCGCTGGCCAACCTGAGTCCAGACCGAAACAGTCGGCATGAGTTTGAACGCCTACAGCCGAGGGCACTGGATCAAAGGTCGTATCGGAGGGAGTCGGAAATATGACATCTACCCACTGACCCACGGTCAGTGTTTGATGACTTTTCCCAAGGGTAATAATGTTGAACAATGCAAAGTGCCATAGGAACTGACTACTGTGAAAGTTTGCAAATGACACAACGCAACACAATAAAGAGTTGATGTAAAAGGAGCTGTGCAAGAACAGGAGGAGAGTGACTGGTAAGAAATGTCTGCAATCAAGGAAAAAGGCCGAAGAAAGAGCTTTTTCCTTTATGGAAACTTGAATCTTTTTTTCCACATGGTTATTTTATGTAAAAGGTATTTAATAAGCGGCATTACAAACTGTTATGAGTGTAAATACATCGCTTAGATACAGTAAGTTGCGTTTCATGTGCAGTATCAGTTTCCAAAAATGATGCCTCTTTACAGAAGTAGAACTTTCTTTCTTTTTCTTAATCTTAATCTTGGACGTAAATAACATTGATAGAAGGCTTATCTTCACAGCTGCCCACACTGCATCATTTGCCCGACCTGTGTTCAGTGACACATTGAAAATTCATGCACTGCAGCATTCAAATGCAATGAGCCATGATAAAAGAACGAGCCACTGAAAACAACACAGCACGACGCCCTTGTTGTGATACTGGTGAGATCCTCAAATCTACCAACGGAGGGAGAACGGGCAAAACTGACTGCACTATTTCATGTTGTAGAAATACAGTACACACTGGACAACATAAAAATATTATTCGCACACGTCACCAACTTCATGATTAGGAGGTTCTGACCAAACATGCATTTCTAGTGAATCAGGTGAAACAGATCTAAAGCACAAACAGAGAGGAGTTGCACAAAACTTTTTTTTTTTTTTTGCAAGAAAGAAGTTGCAATATTCCAGATATTTACTGATAAGATGTTGTATTTTGTAACCCCCTCAATAAGAGGTGCACCTTATATAGATCTTTACTTTTTCATAAAGAAACAAAACACATCTGTAAAAATGCCCTTAAAAACACCTCACACTTAATCTGTTCATCTGTTCTTTATATTTGAAACTATGCACATCCTTCACACAGTTCAGGGGACGGAGATTTGTGTTAGAGATAATGTGCCGTAGAAAGAGGAAATCCTGAGTGGTTTTCATTTTTTAACTATTCCTGAACGGCTGTAAACACTTTACCTAATAACCAATAACCCTGACCTCCCTGATGCCGTAGTTAGAAACTGCTTCTTAATAAGGCATCTGAGCAAAACAGACTCTCTTCAAAGTGGTAGTTCAGATGCAAACTGCAGAAAATATATTTTCACTGTCTGCAGATGAATATTTGTTGCTTTATACTCCGAGGCGTTATGTGACGTAACTTAGTTCTAAATGAAACTGGTTAACCAGTAATGTAAGTCTTCTATAACCACCCGTTAAATGGATTAAAAAGTTCACCAGCATCTAGATGTCGTCACTTTCTTCTAGCCGGTCTCACAAATGCACACTGTAAGTGAACAGTACGCGGTCGACCTTGTTGGTTTCAGCAGCAAGAAACCTCCTCCAAACCTAATCCAAGGTTTGAGCCTCGTAGCTTTTAGCTTTCTTCCACTTGAATCAATTTAAAAATAAAATGTAAAAACAAAGTTGAATGCTTAATTTCCCTCTTTGATGCAAACTAAAGAAGTGAAATACAAGTTTGGTGTCTTCATACATGTCAGAATATTCTGCTACACTGGACAGATTAGACTCTCATTGACTTTTTATAATAAAAATTAAAATAACAATAAACTAATAATAAGATTAGCTTTTTTTATCCAGACCCCTGGTCAGTATGACCAAATATTTTCATTCTCATCCAAATGTTACTGTTTAATTCAAAGGCAACAGTGACTGTATATAATGACAGGATTAGGGATAAATGATGTCACTTTTTATACCAAAGTAAGGGAGCTTTGTCTTTTGTTTTATATAAATATATTGTCAGTAATATTACCATGATCCCCCCAATACGATTAATCACAACCTGTAGTTGTTTTAAAATTGCTCTTATTGTCCTTAATAAATCAATCATAAAATAAAAAAGTATTTGAAATCAGACTATATGACCTGCTATATAGATTAATGGAAATAATATTCACCACGCTTGGCTGCATTTCTGTACTGCTCGACCCTCCTCCACCCCCCAACCCCTTTTTTTGCTCCATTTATTGATTTCATGTCGTCACAGTCTTTAATACTTTTCTAAAAGACATTTTACTTTTGGCTGTATTTTATGACTCCACATGATATTTCTTTTTATGCTGTCATTTGTAAAGTGTAAAAAGAAAAAATCTATACGTACAAAGATCCTACACCTTTGGACACAGTTTGGCTTTTTATTCTGACACAATTATTTCAGAAGCAAATGAATCACCTTGGGCTAAACGGTCTTTTTGTCTAGTCCTCTGAAGGACAATCTTGGAGTGGATGGACGCCCTGGTCAAACACTGGATTTATTTTTGTCCTTCTGAATAAATGAATAAAGAATAATATTTATTGAATTATCAGGTCCAGCCACCATTTAAATCCCTGTGACTGACTTTTGGGTCGCCACTCACCATTTGAGAAACACTGCCCAACCCTAACCCAATCCTACAATTTTATTATGCTGTCTACCTTCCGAGAAGGTTCTGTATGTAAACTCTTTGCTCCTAATCACACGACTTTCCATCATTAAAAGGGTCAAGTCTATCATTTCTACTGATTATTATTTTTCAGGTTTGATGTTTTCCCACCTGAGCCCTTTAATAAGGAGCAGACCACAGTGACGGGGACGAGGTTTATCGTGTACAAAGCCTAGAGTCAATATAAGAGGTATAATAGGAAACAGCCAGGCTGAACAAACCTGCTTATTTTTATACAAAGTTCTTTTTGATAGAATATAGCGATGGATATTTATCTGCTGTTACTAGTCTATGGGTATAAGGAGGCATCGATGTGATTGTTGTCTCAGTTAACAATGATTTCCTTTCTGTCATTTCTTTTTTCCTTCTGCACAGATGCTCATGATTAAACTGCTATTTCTCTTAAAGGGATGAATAAAGACAAATCTTTGACCTCTGTAGAAGTCTTCCTACGCCCAGTGAAATGTATACTGGGCTTCTGAGTTTAATTCACTTAAATTATTCAATTAAAAGCTCATTGTGGAAAAATAACGGGCTTCATCTGCTCTTCTCTTTTTTAATTTCCTTCATAAGAAACAAGACACTTCAAAGAGTCTCTGGTTTAGACACCGGCCAATCAATAGACAGAGTGAGTGTTGGAGTAATACATCACCATGAGTACTTGTTTGTGTGAAAAGATCAACAATGGTGTCAACACAGTCACATGATTTATTGGTCTGGGGGCCAATTATTCAAGAAGGCTCATCAATTAATTAGTGACATACACCAACAACCCAGCAGGGGGCCAGGGGCCTTTTGGCCCTGCTGATCTAGGCTAAAAGCCTGCCGAGGACTGTGTGACATCAGTGGAGTACTAACATGTAGAACACACTGTCAGAACCTCAGAACTGTGGGAGAACTCCACGTGTGTTCCTTCTGATTGATTTGTACCCTCTCTGAGTGACGTCTACTGATGTTCACATGGACTCAATAATTCACACCAGTATAATTTAGTCATATTTTCATCGTCTACTCTCCTCCTACTGCAGACTGAACTGACCAATCACACATAAGCATTTCCCTCACACATGGCTTTTGGGCTGTTTTGTGAAAGTGATACAAACATGCTAATTAAAAAATAAACACACCCACAATTTACACAAAGGACAAATGTATAGAATTCAAACAATTCAAGAAGTTACAGAAGTAACTGTTCCCACAAACCAGAACAACACTGATCAAATGGTTCAGGATTTTTTTTCAAGGAATCTAGAAAATAGTTACCGAACTCTTAGAGTGACACCTTGAACAGCAGTGACGTCACCCATTAGTGACCAGTTTCTTCATAGGACTCGCCATTCGTGCAGCACTATATCATATAAACATGAGCGTTAGCTTGGTCAGTAATATTTAGACCGTTGGGAACAGCAACTGATGTGAAAAAAACTTTATTTTGCCCTTTAAATACTGCAGTTCTCAGCAGGCAGAATGCCACAGAGTTCTTCTGCGTAGATCAGCCGAGCCTCAGGCAGAAAATGGTACTGTTCAGTAATGGCTGGTTAGCAGCTGTTTGTGCGTGTAAAGCCCCGAAATGGTGCGTCCGCACTGCTTGTACCTTCACAAGGCAGCTGGTGGAAATCAAATCTATTATTTACTGAATGGAGTCTGTGGTTAAGTCGCCAACTTTTCCAAAAAAAAAAACCAAAAAAGCAACAATAAAGAACAGACTAGGAAACAGATCCTCTTCCCTTTCTTCTTCATGTTTTGTCTACAGTGTACCACAGTGAAGTTGACGCACAGGCTCCTTTGGGAACATCCCTCCTGTGATTCTCGGGGAACGGTCGGTGATGCCAGCTGCGGCCTGGATTTCCACACTTGCTCACATGATGTGAACCAAATATGGTTTCACCTACCGATGATTTCTGGAGACAGAACAAGGATGTGAAAGAGAGCCAGGAAGATGCTTGGTCAGGCTTTTGCCAGCCAGCTCATATAGACCAGCTATAATTAATGCTGGAATAAATTCCCTGTGGCCCGGATTTTTGATGACAGTCGAATGAGGGAAACTAATGTTAAAGGAGCTATAAAAAGCCCTCTGGTGTCAAACTGCATGTGACCAACACTTGGACCAATAACATTTCTCCTCGTCAAACTGGATTTTTTTCATAACCAGGTCTGAAATCCTTCCTATATTTTACTTAAATACAAACCTGTTCTTGTTTTACCCCAAAGGTTGTTTTATCATTCAAATAAAAGACAGCCTTTTAAGTCTGTTACGTTTATTAGAGAAACAGGACCCTAATATCCTGTTAGTATTTGGGCTAACAGGTCACCTTGACCATGAAAACCAGGGCACCTTTAACAGGAAACCAGTTCACAGACTGAATAAGAAAAAAAAGCTCTATTTTATATTTCATTATTTATTATGTATTATTATTAAGAGTAGAGTGGTGGTCAGAATATTTTCCTCATGTCTCTCAGTCATAGTAGCAGCTTCTGGTCTATTCGAATAATGAAGAACCATGGACATAGAATCTGAGGTTCTATGATTTTCCTCTCATTTCCTGGTTCTCAAAGGTTTGTGAGTAATTATCTTTGTGTTTCTCCAGGGTTGTTTTGAATGTAGAGAGAGAGAGAGAGAGAGACGAAGGCTGCAGTCAAATCACAGCACACACACACACACACAGTTCTCTCTACAGCAGAGATGTATAAAAATGAAATACTTCCTCTATTTCATTTCAACAACTCATCAAGGATCTGTTAATCTTCTCCTTCCTCCAACTGTAAGATGAATACATTCTCTTGTGGGGTTTTTTTAGTTGTAGGAAATGATGAACTCATTCTTTGTAATAATAATGGGAAAGTAGGCAGATGATATTATAAATACTGTGTGTCCTGTAGACAGAGTTAGACAACTAGTTTATATGAATATTCACAAAATGCTAGCGTGGGTAAACAACTGTGAACAGTCCTAATAAAAAAAGTCAAAATGTTCAAAATATCCTATCATAAACGATGCCACTCTCCTCTTTCTTTCTCCTTCTTAATTTATTTTTATTGTAATAAACCTTTCGTTTGTTTTACTTTTTTAAAAGTCTAGAAATCTTTGACACCATCAGAACCGCTTTTGTGCTTTTTCTACAAGAAGTTGTGACAACCTTTGTGAGAATATAAGAACTGTACATGGATCAGAAGCCACAGGTTGACGACCACTGCCTTGAGGGGTTTAGCACAAGTTATGTACATCACCACACGACGCAACAAGGACGGATTGAGCTTGAAGCAGATGTTGCGATGGATTTGACACAGCTATTGCACAGTTGGAAAAAAGCAAAGACAGCAAAAATGTCCCATCATCATCAATGTCACAGTGATAAAAGGCCGTAACAACAGCATCACTATAGTCTTCCTGGACTTCTGTCAGCACAATTCCTAATAGCAGCCCTCTGGATAAAGCCACTTCTACTGTTGCCCGTGACACACACACCGACACTCAGACACAAACAGCTATCAGTAGACGCATCACAGTCCCTTCACCCCAGCATCCCCAGCTTACCTGGACTGAGATACGCTTGGATCATCTCTGGATGGCTGGTTGGCATCACTCTGTCCCAGGATGCAGACCTTGCCAGCATCTCCGGTGTCAGTTAGAATGAGGGTCTTTGTTGTCATAGAGTCAGTTCAGGACCTCACTTGCAGAAACAGTTGGATGACTTAGATATGATGAACAAGATCTCCTTTAATTCAATGAGTTCCCTGGGTGCAAAAATGGAAATAATATGTCAAAAAACAACTTGCAAACGATGCATGATTGTATAATTGTTCAGACAAACATCTGGTATTTAAAGTCTTTGTTGCTCAATTTTTTTAAAACCCTTTCTGAAGAAACCTAATTCGCGGATTATCCTCCAGATTGGACAAAATCTCAGACATTTTTTCGTAATGAAGTGTCTGGGTTCAGCAAGGATTTTATGTGAGACATATGTAACTTAATAGACAAGCTTATAATAGGTGAATGGTGTTGTTGTGTGAATGGTAAAGAATGGCAATGTATTTTTTTATCTTAATGCTAAAATAAATATCACGGGAAAAAAGGACAAAAATGTTTTTTAATGAAATCCAGGTATGCATAATTTACCAAATATTTGGCATGTGTGTTTTGAGGCATGCGTTTCATTAACACTTTTTAAGGACTACAGATTTGCATATTGAATTTAAATTTACTTTACACACGTGCTGTTTTTATTTTTATTATTTGTCATTTAAGGCATTTAGTTTTAAATCAAACATTTCTACATACCATTTTACGTACAATGTCATTTCTTTACAACGTACGTACGCCATCTGGTGACACTTGAACACAATCACCTCGTCATATTCCGCTACTTGATTTGGTATCCTTACTGACCACACAAAAAAGAGAATACTCACTGCTTCCCAAGTTTAACCAATCAACGCACACGTCTTTTAAACCAACAATGACGTACCTCGCATTGTGACGCTCAGAGACTACAAACAACACTTTCTTATCCTTTAAAAACAGCATAAGTAAGCTAAATATATTTTTATTTTAAATATAGAGTGCAAATTATTTTTTTTTTGGTTTCGTATGACACTTAAAGGGGCTTTAGTAACAGCAGGCGGTTACAGTGTCTGAATGAACGACTGCGGCGCTAACGGCTAACGTCAGCGACACAAGCTAAGGAGCCACATAAATAGCTAATCAACAGTGAATGTGTGGCGCTTGCAAACAGATATATAGAAGTGCAATTCAATACAGGTTTTGACAGAAAGTGACAAATGCAGTGTTTTTAGCAGGATGAAGGTGGTCAACCTGAAGCAAGCCATTCTACAGGCGTGGAAGGAGCGTTGGAGTGATTACCAGTGGGCTATCAACATCAAGAAAAACTTTCCAAAGGGAGCATCATGGGACTACCCTAACCTCGCAGGTATGCAGATACTGTGCAAGTATAGCATAGTAAATCTAATATGGTGAAATATTGACATGCACAGTATTGGTAATTGAAAGTCAGAAAAATATTAGGATTTCAAAATGTCTGTTATAAGGTAAGTCAATTTGTCAAATGTTTTATTAGCGCTCTATACACTTCCTTTTTTTTTTTACAGTAAAGCCAATTTATGTTAACTTCCTTTTTTTACAGTAAAGCCAATTTATGTTATAACAATTATATTGTAAAAGTAAGATTAACCGCTTTGTCTGTTCCAGAGGCTCTCATGGAGCAGTCAATGATTGGTCCTTCTCCAAACCCTCTGATCTTGTCTTATCTCAAATATGCTATAAGTTCACAGGTGAGACAGAACAATATATTATGTAAGAAACCTGTTAGTCATACAGTAATGGTTTTAAAGGTTTTGTTGTCAATCGTTCTCTGTAGATGGTCTCCTATTCCAGTGTTCTAACCGCCATTAGCAAGGTAATAAAACATGGGTAAATGTATTTCCATTTCAACATGCATCAGATTTCAAATTCAGCTATAAAGATATTTTATTTCTTGATTAGTTTGAAGACTTTTCCAGAGAGCTATGTGTCAAATCATTGTTGGAGATTATGGACATGTTCTGCCATCGTCTCAGGTGAGTGTTCCATGGCATTTATGTACCTGACATTTCCCTTTTGAAATAGATTTTCACTGGCTCCTCTTGTTTGAACTGACTTTAAAGCTGTCACGGAAAGGCAGAGGAGTGCATCGGCCTTTGTCGAGCTCTGCTGGGAGTGGTAGTGTGGCTCCTACAGGGCTGCGGTTGGTACTGTGACAACTTTCGAGAAATGGGCCCATCATCCAGCACAGAGTCCAGTTTGAGAGCCTGTCAGGAGAGGCTTCACAGTCTGATGGCCAGTCCTAAGAACAGAGCCTTGGTCCACATTGCCCGACTGGAGGATCAAGGTGACATGAGGGGATTTAGCCTTTTTGCATGCTTGGCATGTAAATAAAATTTCCAAAGTTATATTGAAGCAATTCCTTAACAAACTGTTATTCCTTGACAGGATCCTGGAACAATGTCGAACAGGCAATCCTAAAAGTGACTGATGGCCTCAGCTGCATACCCAATCAGACTCTAAGGACTAAAGTGGAGGAAACTTTGTCATTAATAAAAAGGTGTTTCCATCTCCCTTTTGTTTTGTTTTTGATTTCAGATTGATATCAATTCAGCTTACTGTCACCCATGCTAACTACATCGTCTTTTTTACAGTGTCCCTGTGATGCTGTCCATTCAGTGTGAATCTCCGGTCGATGAATCCTACCCATCTGTCCATGCATTCATCATGCTGGAAGGAACTATGAATCTAACAGGGGAGATACAACCACTAGTGGAACAGTTGATGATGATCAAGAGAATGCAGGTAAACATTTATGTCATGGATTCATAATCAGAAGTTTTTTTCATATTTTATTTTGGGCCATAACATGTAACCCACATTTCTTCTTCTGATTTTTAATTACGCTCTGTAATTTGACCCTGGGCCTGCTACCTAGGTTGGGAATAAGGAAGCAAATGTTCCAAATAGCCAAAACACGTGGACAGTAAAAACAAACATGGATAAAGATAAAATTGTCTTTTAAATCTTTAATTCAGCTTTACACCCTTGCTGGATGGTGCCCTTGTCTCATACTCTTGTTTCAAATTCAGTCTTAGTTTTCAGACCCAAAGGTAGAAAATAATTGAGAAACACTGGCTTAGAGGTGTTCTTACTAGAGCCAATAATGTACACAACAGCCCAATTCACATAATCTCCTGGTCAGAAGTCAGTGTGCAGTTATTGACCAATATATTTTGCCCTATAACAACATTACCTTCTTTTGTGAAATATTTTTTTTACTCAAGCGAATTCCTACGGCACTCTTTGTCCTGGAGATCTGGAAAGCATGTTTCACCGGCCTGATCGAGTCACCAGAGGGCACTGAGGAGCTAAAATGGACTGCTTTCACATTCCTGAAGGTAGGCCTGGAATGAGGTCACTGCCTTAACATCAGTGTGACTGTGATCTTTGGATGGTGCACTGTTGGCTATATTGTTGACTTTTAATAGACTAACATAAGACGACAATACTGTACTGTACTGTTGTGGACATGAAGCTTTGCTGCTTTATCCCCATGCTGCTGGAGATTTAATAAGATGCAGATATAGTTTTTATACACATGTTCATTGCAATGTTAAATAAAGTCAACACAGTAAAATGAAAATGTATTTTATAACTACTTCCTCCTAGATACCACAAGTTTTACTTCGACTAAAGAAGTACACTCAGTGTGAAAAGGGACAGGTAAGAAAACAAAAAGGTCATGGGAAATTTCTAAAGACTCTTAAAAAGCCATCACTTCAGTTCATCACAGTTGTATTTTTACAGGACTTTACTGATGATGTAAATATTGCATTTGAGTACTTACTGAAGCTCACTCCACTGCTGGACAAGGCAGATCAGAGATGCAAGTAAGCCCATCCCCTCAGCTATTTATTCCCCCTGAATGGTTTTCTTGGTGCGTGGAGGTTAAAACAAAAAGGTTTTAATTCTTTCTTGTGCTTTTTCCCTTTAGTTGTGATTGTCTGGGAATGCTGCTGCAGGAGTGTAATAAGCTCGGTCTGCTGTCAGAGCCAAATACAGCCAACCTGACTGCCAAACGGTATGAGCTGCCTTCTCAGTAAAGTGTGTATGTAAATGTGTGTTTTTATTTTTATATATATATATATAT